CAGCAGCTCCATCCTTCTACTCACTCATTTTACAACTATGGGTGTCCTTGGCTCATCTTTCTCACACCATGGATACAATCCATTGGCAAATGCTGTGAGTTCATCTTCAAATGCATCCAGGATACCTTCATGTCCCACTATTTCCCCTGCTCACACCCCAGTCAAGGTCACCTACATCTCCAGCCTGGAATACTCTACTCGCTTCCTACTGTTTTCCCTTCAGCCTCCCTTGTCCCTCGCCTCTCAATTCCGTTCTCAGAACAGCATTCAGAGATCCTTTTAAAAGAGAAGTCATATCATGTCCCGCTTCTGCTCAAAACTGTCCTCTACCTCTCCATATCACTCAGAGCAGAGGTCAGATGCTTCCCCACTCCCTCCTGGCCCACCTGCTCTGACCACACCTCTGACCTCATCCCAGTTTCTCTCTGTCCGGCCCTCCTGGCCTCCTTGCTCTTCTGGGAACACAGACACCTTCCTGCCCCAGTACATTTGAACTGGAGGATCCTCTGCCTGGAAAGAACTTCCGCAGACATCCTCGTGGACAACTCCTTACGTCCCTCAACTCTTTCCTCAAAGGTCACCTTTGCAACAAGGCACACAAAGACCACCCAGCACAACAGTCACCTTCCCTGTCCCCACTGCCCACATCCTGGATCACCTGTCTCACAGCACTTAACACCTTCTAGCACTTTCTTTCCTTGCTCTGGTTATCGGGTATCCATCGTCTGCGTCTTCCCACTGGAACACATGCTCCACAAGGTCAGAGATTTTTCTCATTTTACTTCAGTGATGTTCCCCAGATGCAGAACCACTCTGTCCTGTGTCTGACAGAAAACAAAGGTCAGTTGAATGAATGATCACTGTAGAGCACCTCCCTATTCTAAAGGCAGTATCTTTATTAACATAGCCTGAGGCCAAATGCTGTTTTGTGGCAGCTATGGCACAAGTTCCCCTCACACTGACACTGAGGCTGCCCGTGCTTTTCTCAGCGGTGCTGCTTGTGTGTCCTCCCTCCCCCATCCCTTCTGCCACACCAACCCCCTCTCCCCACCTGCACACTGCAGCACACAATCAGGTTTCTCTCTTCAGGAAAGAACAGTCCTTGATGATGGGTCCAATTTCACAAACAAATATAAATCTAAATTAGATTATGCTTTAGATTCATGAGTTGATATTGGAGCCAACACCAAGATCACTGGAACGAGGGCAGGGAGAGAGGGCAGGAGATCAGAGCAGAAGGGGAGCCCTAGTAGGAGGGCGGGAACTGAATGGGTCTGAAAACTTGTCTCAGAAAGCACAGAGACTCCTGTGTGCAGGGGCCACCCTGGGCGATGTGTGAGCCTCTGTGGTCACAGCTCTCCTGGACAAGTTTCCACTGAAGGGACAAGAACAATGGAACAGTGAAGGTCACCCAGCTGAGGACTGACCACATAAAGCCCCTGATGGACTGAACAGCAACTGGACACAGGCCCCATCCACAGTTGGCTCCTCACAGCTTTCTCCACCCCCACCTGCAACAAACTCAGCACAACTAACACACGGATTCTGGAAGGTTCTCAGGTCTTTATTTCCTCTCTCAAATTCTAGGAATTGACTTATTTAATTAACCCATCAACCTCTCATGG